GTGGGGTGTGAAGTTTGGGGCACTTAAAAACAAGATTACGCCAATATTCAAGAGTAAAAAAATCTCATGCAAGGAGATCTGTCAGCTACTCTATAAAACTACAAGTGAGTCAAAAGAATCTCCCAAACACAAGTTTTTCTTTCAGCTAAGTACAACCCTATTCAGTCATTTCATTTTCCACTGTTACAAAAAGCTGATTGAAAAAGCAAGTCTGCTCTTGCAAATGTGAAGTTTTCACTATTAATCTGAAATGCCAAACAAAAAAAGGTGCCATGCAGACAGCCCCTAAACAGAAATGGGTCCTGTCAACTCAGCACGTCTCGTGCAAGGCGCTCTGGTTTCCATCCAGCATCATGGAACAGTTAATGGCATCATGGGACAGGGCAGCTATTTCTGGCTGAGCTAAGGGCTGCTCCAGAGGGAATTTTCTGTGAACATCTGGTGCAGTCAACAGTAAAACATAAATATTACATAACACCATGGACTGCACTCAATACCAGGCAGGGATCAAGCTATTGCTCCAGTTCTGTCTCTAGCAATTGTTAAGCAATACTGCAGGCTATTCACTTCACTTTCTGAAGCACTATGCTGACCAGGTAGACAAGAACATCTGGCAAAGTATAAAAAATAACATCCAGGCTGCCAGGGAATGGCACTGCCTAATGTTTCATCTGTTACAATTATGCCTGCTTTCATCTAAAGACAACACTTCTTTAGCTAAATGTAATACTGCTGACAGTATACTCAAATCTGCATTAGATACCTAATGGTTTCTAAACATGCTCCTTGTGTCCTGTTTTCTCCCGATCTGCATCCTGATTCCCAGCAGGCTGATTAGCAGAAGCCAAAGGCTGCTTTCCACAGTGAGAAAGCCAACAGCTGCCTTACACTCAGGAATGACTGTGCCAGCCAAGAATAAATCATGTCAGCTTATGGACCCCCAGCATTTCAGTCCTCAAAATACCACCCCCTAAGCAGACCAGAAAGATCATTTTTGCATGCAGTGGCAGAGCTGCATCCCCACACACACACACTGCTGGTTCTAGAGAAAGAAACAGCATTTAAGTATTTCATTAAGACTCAAGAAGAGAAAAGAGCTTCGCTTTATGGGAAAGGGGCACACACATCCCAAAAAAAAGCACCAAAACAATCTTTGCTCCAAAGAAAGTTCATTAATCTGAGCCCATGAGAAATGACAGTTAATAAGGACAAGTCAAATAATTATTTCAGTTATCAGTCATAAATACTGAGATGTCTTTGCAAATCTCAGTCTCATAAATCACAACCCCTTTATTCTTCAGTATAAATACCCCTCAGCAATACTGAGAGCCCTAGTATCTGTGGGCTGCACTGCACTACAAGGCTATTTAAATATTTGGTTTAAACCACTATTTTTGGCCAGCAAACTGTCCTTTTCTAGGCAAGATGTAAAACAGAACAGATGCACAATCTGTGCTAGCTCTCTGCTGTAACAATCTAAGGGACAGATTTACGATATAAGGATAGGAGGCCTAGGTAGGGATTGGGAAGAATACAAAACCTCTATCCACAAACTAACATGAGATTTGGAAAACTGGGACACAAGTTCTGCCTCCGCATATGTGAACGTGAGTTTGTCAAAAATGAGAAGCTGCACCTACTGTATCTAGTCACTCACTTTTACAGGAGCACTTCATATATCACAGCAAACCATGCACTGTATTGGGGAAAACACTTCCTGGACTTCCCTGATCTAAATTAATGATTCTTAGAAGAGCCATTATCCTACTGCTACAGAGTCTTTGGCATTCCTTATTAATCCCCTCACAGAAGACTTCAACTCTGCCCTTTGCAGACCTGTACAGAGACACAGCTGCAGCCCTCCTCCAAAAATCCAGCATAAAACCCAACACACTGTAATACTCATCTTGAGAGCCCAGAGAGGGACTGATGTACCAGAATAAAACAAAGTGTGTACTTTAGATATCTGCAAGTAGCAACCAAGAAGAAGATTAAGATCAAGTGATCCAAACAAATACAGCAAAATTTGATAGAAACTAACCCATTTACCTAAATTTTTACTACCAATTTGGAGTGTAGTAACATGCTTATATAACACCAATAACAGCAATAACATCAAGCAAAATAGTACTAAAGCTTTCCAAATCCAGACTGAAGGCAATAGAGAAACCTGTTTGCAACATACACATGTACTGACTTACCTTGTAGTTCTGATGGGACTCAAAGTTGGAGAGAGGAGTATTGCATGCAGTTGAAAAAGGCATCACCTTAACACCTCTGTACACCAGTCCTTTGTCATACAGCTGCCTGAAAACCCACCTGGAAGCACACAAGGAACATGGAATAGCACTTGGTGTTTCAAATTTAGCAAATAAACTGCAAAATGGGGTTTCTGCTCTAGCTGGCATTTCCTTATAAATGACACCTTCTTTAAACAATCAACCATCAACTAAAGACAATATGTGCAAGTCAAAAGGAAAGAGATATTTGATCGTAACTATTTCTGGCAGATTTTTAGATTTAGCTGATTCTAGCAGCTTGGTATTCCATGCACTTACTGCAGAGCACATAACATTTAGATGAAACACAGATCTGTATTGCTGACTAATCTCTCCCAGATTTCTTGAATACAAAGATCACATGAAATTTGAACTGTTAACAAGGCTGAACTCAGTTTAATTTAGAGAGATGTGTAGTGACATAGCTGCTCACTTATTACATGATCTTGAACATCTACTACAGCAGCCAGTGCAACAGGGGAGGCACAGATACAGGCTGGAGATACCTGCAAGCCACCCCAAGTAAATTCTGACAATCTGAAGAGCATTTTCACAAAAGGGCACAGATGACCAAGAAAAATCATGAATTCCATTTAATGTTCTCCTCTGGACTCAGTTCCTCTCCAACATCAGTCTCATATTAAGCTTTAACTCTGTTTAAGAAATCTTCAATACAGCCTGTAGCACGTTTGGATTCTTAATTTCTCTTGAAATAATCAAGACAGCACTTAATATTACCCTGTAACAAACTGAGCCAATGCTGAAGATGAATGGAAGCTGGAAGAGAAAACTCATCAGCAACTCATCCAGTGTCCATGTGACAGATAAAATGTGAACACTGCAGAGTTTACTAACAGATCAACATTTATCAGGTCGCACCAACTTGCACACTTAGTGGCACAGCCTGCAGGCTGCAAGGCCCAAGAGGGCAAGCCTGAAATAATGATGCCAAATTCAACTCACAGAGCTGAGCTTCTGCAGAGTCTCATTGTTTCATATTGCATATCCAAATTGTTAAACTCTGCTGACTTTAAAAGCTGCTTTATTCAAACTACGTTTTCAAACCATCCTGAGCACTTTTCTGGGTCCCTTTGCAGATAAATAGCCCATTGCTAAGCAACCAACCCCATCCTGGCAAGTAGCACTTTTTTCTGCAGGCTGTCATTTTATGCTTGAGAATCTGGACCTGTATTTCAATCAGTGTCTTGCCTTCTGTGTCTGAAATTATAATCTTCACCATGAAACACAAGTAGATTTGTTGCATTGATTTTATCTGTAGCCCAAAACAAGAATATCTGAATATATGCACTAGCTTGCTGACATGGAATTATTCTGCTTACTCAGAATAATTGTTACCCTTCAGATTAGGCAGTTGGAGGAAACACAGACTGTCATATGGAAAAGACATGCAGTCCATTCAGATTTATTCATGGGCCACCGGTAAAAGTAAAAAATTCCCTAAGAATGGTCACTCACATCAGAAAAATTACATAACCTGAACCCTGAGATGAAAAAAGCCTCAGAGACCCTCAGCAACATCAAGTTCTGCCAGAGGAGCGAAACCCAGCAGTCTTTCAGAGCTGTGCACTCCAAGAAAGGTGCCCTGCCTTACACACACATCCCCAAGCAACCTTGTTCAAGCCATAAATGTCACCCACAGGCAAGTTGTGGCTGTCTGACCCCCAACCCAAAGCTGAAACATAGCAGCGAGTGCATCTACTTTGCAACTGAGATTTTAAAGTTTATCACCTTAAACTTGCATAAATCTATATCACTCTTTTATAAAAATGATCCCTGAATAGAGTTTCAGCAGTTTTCAGCATATACATTTGGGCTGGCTAACTGCACAAGTTTTTGTGGGGAGTTAAAAAAAGTAAGTTTAAATGTATGCTTACCACCTCAGAGCATAATTAGAGCAGGCTGTGACAAGTGACAGTATTCATACCAAAGGTGTTCTATTTGCCTTTCAAAAACATTAACTAAAATACCTATAAAAATAAAGCTCCACTTCATCTCTACTTTCTATAGAACACTGCCTACTAACACCACACAAGACAACTACTCAGAGAAACACTGAATATTTAATTCAGCTGTAAATATAACTGTAAACTCAGGGAGCTGTTCAGGAAAGGTGAGCACTAGATGGAGCTGCCAAGCTCCCAGTCCAGGCCAGCATCTCCCTCCTGTGGCAATCCTGCCCCACTGCAAACCAGCTGTGCCCTGCTGGGCAGGGATGGACTCTCACACCGCATCCCACTCCAAAGTTCTTGCTACAGGTCAGCACGACCACACATTTGTAATTTATCATCACCTCTCCTCTCACACAGCCATTCCAACAGAGTGAGTTGCTGGTTGAGCCAGGACTGCTGCTTGATGCACTGCATTATCACTGCTCTCATTATCACAACAACCTGTCCTGTTATTTCAAAGAGCACCTAAATCGTTTCCTTAACAAAAAAGCTCTTGAGAGCTGTCAGTGTGTGACCATCAGGAGTGCACAGGAGATGACTCCCAAAGAGCTTCCTGCTAGCAGCACTGCCCACCTGAAACACCACAGCTGCTAAAGATGAACCTGGTTCTAACAATAAGAGTAATTTACAGGTGGATATCGTGTTTTTCTTGCAAATTCAACACTGTTTTAGACAATAGCCTGTCAAAACATGTTTTAACTCTCATGTCTGAAAACTGTTGACAACTTGCAAGAAAGGTGCACTAGGTTTGTAAGCCAAAACTCAAACGGCAGTGCTTTCCGATAAAAACCAGTAACCTAACAGACCCACTGAGCTCTTTTTTAGTGACAAACAGAAAACATTTACTCACAGAAACTAGAAATCAAACCCTGTTTCTCGAAATCTCCTACATTTCTCCTCAACTGTAAATAAATGTAGTTGCATCCTCTTGGCTGTGGCAGCAGCACTGACACACTCCTTTACTGAAGAAAAATGCAGTAAGGGAAAAGGTGAACTCAAGATGTATATTTCAGCCTCTTGTTAAGAGAATCTGATCCCTAAAGATGCAAGGAATGTTTAACTTCCAAAAGGCATGACACAAAAGGCATGAAAAGTTTGCTGTTCCTAAAGTGTCGTGAGGGGATGATACAACTGGTTCAAGCCCAGGCAACAACAAAGTCTGAGTTACCCTCTCCATAGGCATAACTTCTGAGAAACTAGAACCTTGCTACACTATTTGTTCATCCAGGTCACATATACACCACACAGACACCACATGGATATAATAAAACTCTTACAAAGGGAGATTTTTTCGTCAAAAAGACACTGAATCAGTCAATTAAATACTCAGAACACCCTTGGCATCTGACACAAAATCCAACATTCCCCAATATCCACCAGCAGATGCAAAAGCAAGTGGCACTTCTCAGGCACCAAACCAGTCCTTCTCAGGAGGAGTCCCCATTCACCCTCTCACTGAGAAAGGCCAAGGCAGATAGGCACTGGCATTAGTGACAAGAGCTCACCTTGAGAATACAGACTATAAAAAAATGTGCAGCAACACAAGACAAATGTTCCAGTTTCAGGAGCTACCTACAACTTCTTCAGTTGCAGGTTAGGAGTACGGTGGCACCACGAGCCTGATGCTACTAAAGGCCACACCTGGTCAGAAAGGAAAGAGAGGTCCCTTCTTAATATCCATCCATAAAAGCAAACTAAAGCTGGAACAACTGAAATGGGTTTGGTGGAAGGAGCAAACAAAAAGCCCCATCACCAAAGGGAGCTCCAAGCTGTGTTCCCACAGGAAAGCAGTTTTCAGTGTACAGCCATGATCTC